TCTAAATTAGCTGTGAGCACATGCCTCAAGGAGGTATTTCCAGTAAGCAGACTGCCTTCTACCCTTACTTTCCAGGCATAATATTCTAGTTCTAACAGATATCCCCAAATTAATTACTTATTTTTAACGCATAACAGGGAGCTGATTTTATTAACCTCTAAACGAACTCAGACAGTGCAGCCAGAAGCACTGAATTCTCCATCAGATTGCCTTGTTTGTTTTCAAAGCAAGAATCTGCACTCTGCTTCTCTGTCAGCAAAGACTTCAGAAATAAATTATTTTATGGTAAATGCAAGGAACAGTATGTGTGTACACCAGCTGACTGAATGTGACAAGATTTTGGTGAGCAGCAATGATGGTTCACTCAAGGAGAGCTGCTCAAGGAAACTACACAAAGAAGGAACCAGCAGTTATTTTCAGAAGGTAAATCTGTTGCTAGTACAAAAAAATAGATCCAAGCCTAGGTTTTGTTATGGCAAAATAAAATAACTTAGCAAGGAGTTGTCCCTTTTTTCAGAATGCAATAAAAATATAAATGGTTCACATAATATATTGTACATTATTTAGAAGAGCAGATATAAATAAAAAGATGTCTTTAAAGAAAAAATGAATTTAAGTAAAAATTTAGTGCATCTGAACAAAAATAAAAAAGAGAGAAAATATATACTGGGCTGTCAATAAGACACCTGGACTACATCAAATATTTTCTTGTGCTATTAACATTTAAGATGGATGCAAGGAGAAACATTAGTTTTCAAAGGCATTTGGGAAAACCAATCTCTAAAAAAATACCATCCTCCACCCCCCCAACAGATATTTTGAAAACACAGTTTCTTCTTCACCATTTGGGTTGCAGAACTGTGTCGATTTAAGTGGCCAGCAAGGTTAGGGTTAATAGGAGAGAACATCACTGTTCCCTCCATCTGAGTAAAAATGGGTAACCATAGCCTAATTCTACCTTAGGATATAACTCTGGTTACATCTCAATTTATAGAAATAATTAGATCAAATTAGATCATGGAAAGTTTAATTAACCAGGCATAGCTTTGAACTAAAGTCCATTTTCTATGGAAATTGGAAAAGGCCTAAGTAATTCAGTACTCATTATATCATGATTTAGCATCAAGCATCATGGGGGGCTGTAAGTCAGGGTATATGAAAAAAAGCAAAGAAGACATCAACTCTCCTAGATTTTGGGCAATATTTGGATGTCTTGCCTCCTAGAAAAAAATAAACAGGTTTTGAATGTTCAAGAGAGCTTAGCAGGCTAGCTTTGAACAAGAAAAAAGTTCATTTGGGCCATTAACTAGACTCAAAATTTCGTGTCATTGTTCTTTGACCTGCCTCCACCATAAAAAATGTTGAATGTAATTCTTGCTTTTAAATATTTTTGAAATATGCACATAATCTACTACTAATGTGAAAGGGACCATTATGAAATATTTCACCCAGTGCAACAGTGTCTAATTATAATTAATTCTATTAACATTCATTATGACAAATTAATTTGTATTAATGGGGATGTAATCTCATGATTTGATCAGAATTTAGAACTAATTAGTTTCCACCTAGTATCAAGAGTTATTTATTATACAAAGAGCCTCTTTTCCTTTTGAGGTACTCTTGAATATAATTTACCACCCTGTGTATTATAGAATCGGTAAACTAGCAAAACTATTGTCTGTAATACAATTCCTGATCCAGCACTACCTCGATTGTTCAAGTTCCAGTACTCTGTAAGGCTCTGGGCTCCCTTACTACTGAGTCTGAGTAGACTTTTCACACAGGAATCCATTCAATATCAGTAACAAGTGTAAAATTAACTTTTTAAATCTTGTCCAAAATATTTTTTGATTCAGCAAGAAAACCTGAAGATGTTATCCATATATTTTAAGTCTCTAGGTATGGTGTTTCCATCAAAGATTTTTCATTGATCTACATGTGTTTAGAAGAACTGATTATAATGCAAACATATACATTAGAGATGTTAAGGATGAGGTTTTGTAATTGTTTATGAAAACCTGTTGAAAGGGATGAGGGACAGACATTACCACTTTGGCTTTTGTTCAACAGTGCTCTAGGGATCAAAGAGTTTCACTGAAATCAATAGCACCTATTACAGATGAAGGCACAGCTCACCATGGGTAAGGGTCTGGCTACTAGGAAAGTAATATTGAGATTGCTTTCATTTTAATGATGGAGAAACTCTAAAACATCCATCCATGCTTTTGGGTGAAATGAGTAATGCCCACTAAAGTTACAAGATTTATGAGGGATGTCCAATTCAATTTCATTACAAAAAAAATTAAAAATTGGTTCCCTGCTTTTAAAATTAAATCCATATGCAAGGAACAGTGTTTTTCTAAATTGATGCAGGTACTGAGAAAAAAAAATCTTTTAATAAGAATTGTCATTTATTATTTGTCTGCCATATATATAGAATTAGTTAGCAGATTCTGCTTTCATGATACTTGCCAGGGATTGTTTTAAGAAAGTTCTAGTCAGTATTTAATAAATGAAAGAGCTTTTTGATCCTTCAGACACATAAGTGACCTTAGACAATTGTGCTAAAAATGCTCTAACTCAAGTCCCATATCACCCTCTGCATATCTAGAAGGACATGTCAGCTCCTTTCCCAGGACAAATCTTAGTTCTCAGCTAATACCTGAGAGATAACACACTGAAAACCTCTTTTGCATAATTGCTGGATTGACCATGACATGACATTGTTCTCATAGCTTCAGGTATATGAACTGTGAAAAGTCCTTCCCAAATTTGACTGTTTTAAGATTAATTTAAAGCTGTATGTTCCCATCTCTACCCTAAATTGAGCAATCTGATGTGTAGTCAACCCAAAATGCACATCTACAGTTGAGTTCAAAATGTGGCTCTTTACTTCCTAAGGTATTGAAGTTTGAATGTACAACTCAGGTGGCACATTCAAGCAGCTGAAAAGCTCATGTCTATCAGACATATAGTGGATAACGCATATGCTAGATCTATACCACAAGCAGTGGTAAAAATATTTAACTTATACATTATTCATTAAGGCTTTTATCCATCTTTTTCTACTTAAAAGTTAAAAAATAGAAGAGGTACAAGAATCTGCTTTGTGTGAAATTATGCTTTTTTCATCACAAAAAATTCCGAATGCTTTTTCTGGTTGTATGTTCCCAGAGGTCACAGAAGAGTGAAAAAAAATTCTAAAACACATAGATTTCTCTTTTTTTCAGCATGGTTGATTGTATTTACAATGACCTAATAATATTGTCCCAAATTTCAATGATAAACATAAACACTAAACATACATTAACATTAACCTGACTAAGATAAATTTTTAAACTGTACTTGGCATATTTAAATTTCTTCTTCTGTTTAGAATAAATACTTCTTGGAATTTATATTCCAGTGTCTGCTATTTTTTGATTATATAAATTTCCGGTCTTTATTGTTCCAACAAATTGTCCCCCCAACAAATGGATTGATGTGTTTATCACAGTACCACTTTCATTTTTGTCATTCACTTCTTAGTCACTTGTCAAAGTAGTCTGAAGATCATACCAGCCAAATCATCAAGTCAAAGAGATTTCCCCCAATGTGATTTGAAGCTACCTTTAAACTGTCAAGATAGACATTTATCTTAAATTTGAAGACGTGTCCTTCATATTTGCCTGGCAATATCACCTGAAAGAAATATTTTGTAAACTTCTGTTGACAAAAAGATATTCTGGGATATTTTGCACATCTTGAAAGAATGATTCAGTACAAGGGCACAAGTTTTTGGATAAGTTGGAATAGAAGAATTTAACAAAGGTTTCTGTACTGTGTTGTCTAAAATCAATAGGTCTTTGGAGATCAAATAGAGGTCTAATGCAAGACCATGTTTTAGAATGGCATTTATCAGATTTTTGAAATAGCTGGTAGGTTGGGTATGGTTTAAATCCCTCAGCCATTCCCAGAATGTTTCAGCACATCTGCATTTTTTATCTCAGCACATCTGCATTTTTTATCTCAATGGGTACAACTGCAGTTATGACCACAGACACACATCTTAGCAGAGGGGCCTCACTAAATCCCATAGTGGCAAAAAGAAACATGTGCATGGTTGCATGGAAATGGTTTAAACTGATCCTGAGTAATGCAAAATTTACTGATTTGTACCAAAATTTTGCATCTACCTAATCATGCACAGATTATGGTATGCACTAAAAGGTAGAAATTATCTAAAACCTTCTCGTCATTGAATGAAACACTTTTTTTTTTACATGACCTATATGACATTAGACAAATGTCCAAAGCTTAACTTCACAGAATTTAAATGCATGAATTGTAACCAACAGAAAGCAAAATGTAGTTCTTCCATCCTGGATTTGACTCTCAAAATTGAAGCATTAATTTCAGAAACACCTAAGGGATCTAGGGAGAGAATTTCTATTATAGTTTGGTGGGATTTGTGTCCATAACCTCTTTAGCCTCACTTAAAATCTCAGTCAAAGATTAATCTCAGAATGAAATGTATCTTTTGCGTATCTGGACAGGTCAAGACCTCTGTTGGAATGGAAGTTGAGCTCCCTTGTATGTCAGGCTTAGACCTATCTTTATGGAAGTAGTCAAAATATGAGCAAGATGCTAAACTACAACATAGCACTCGTTAGTTAAAAAACCTTCAACAACAATTCTTTATAGATTGAAAAACAGAAGTAATTTCATTGTAAGTGTTTGGGGACATTTTTATAGGTTGCAATCTACCTTCATCAATACAATAGAAACCTAAATAATTGTAATTTTTATTTGATTTTCCTATTATTTTTAAATTAAAATTAAGGTACTACAAAAACTCAGAGCTGAATTTTGAAATTCAGGAAGCTGCTTCACACAGTGATTACTCTCTATTTTAACGTTCAGTGCCATTAAGAGTGGATTAGACAGAGCTGCCAGCCTGAGCTGTTTTAAACAAATGGAAAATCATTAACAGTAATCTTTTGAATCTTTGTGCACAGGACAGCAACTGCTGGAAGGAAACAAGATCAGGAGAGGACCTGTAGAGATCTGGGTAAGCAGACTGCTAGATTAATGACTGGCATTGTCAGAACTGAGTGATGGGGAACTGCAGCGGCTTCATAGGCTCACCCCTACTAGTGGGTGTTGCCATGGGTACCAGCTCAGAGGTGTCACATTAAAAAAAAAAGGGGGAAAAGGGAGAGACAGATGAACAGCAAAAGGGAATAAAGAATACACGCACCACGGCAATATAAAGAGACATTCTGTGTACACAACAAAAATGGGGTATGTCATGATATAGCAGAATGTGAAAAAAAGAAGGAAAAAACAATAATGGTTGAATTCTCAATAAAACCCTCTGAATAGCATGACCTAATTTATATATCTATGATTGCACATTTTTATTTATTGTTTAAAGTCCAGGCAATGATAGAAAAGACTCCTATTAATCACACATTGTCTCACAACAGAAAAGAGTTATTTGCGGCGTGCAATCACTATTCATAAATTTATTGTTATTTAGGGCCATGTGTAGTCTATAAAAATAAACCTAATAAATTATTGTCATTTAAAATCACAATTAGTTCCCAATTCAGCAAGTGACATCAACATCCCTAACCATCCCCAGCATGAGCAGTTGTCCTTTAAATTAGATGGACTGCTCAAACAGTTGGTGATTTGTGTCTTATCAAAAGTAATCTTCTGAGGTAGCACGGAGGCTTGTTTTTAATAACCTAGCCAGGGGGTGAATACCAACCATGAGGCATGAAACACTTTTGCCTAAAATGAATAGTCATAAGATAGAGAAGGAAAGGGAAAAAAGCCCAGCAAAAACTCCCACACAAATAAACAACCCCTCACTCTCGAGGCAGTTTGAGCAAGTGTTTCCCAAAGGGCAGATACTATTTTTGTCACTTTACTGTTTACTTGTTTGGCTTGTCTTTCAGTCAGATAGATATAAATAAAGTCTTTATTCCTTCAGATCTGTTGAAAGTTTGCATAATGTCCATGTTCAGTGAAAAAATTGTGGTTTTTTGTATCAGGAAGTTTCAGTACATGACAAAATGTCGTTCACAGCTGCCTAGAAATAAACAGATATCAATGGTTACATTAAGTACAGAACATATCAATTCTATGATTATTAAGTTACATAATAAAATATATATAAAGTTGTGTGAATTCTGTTTTAACTAATTTCTTTAACGCTTAAATTTAATTAATTAAAAAAAAGTGAACATAGAAAATATTTGGTGTGATGGGAAATAAGGGAGTTTAGTCCTGATTTCTAGTGAGTTGGCTTATCTGTTTCTCATGCATAACAATTGTGGCAATGATCTAGAAAAAGCAAAATAATTAAAATATTTGCTTTATATATTTTATATATTTTATTTTTATATATTTATTAAATATGTTTATACATCGCTGAATAGATTATGTGCTATATTACACTTTCCAGAAAACATGGCGTGTCTTTTAACTATCTGATGGTCTATACAATCCGTCAGTGAAACCTTGTAAAAAGAGGGGGATGGAAGTCAGAAAACAATTATGTGGTAAGTAAGATACCATTAAGTCATACAGCTGTGTATTGCCAGCTGCTTCCCTCTCCTTTTGGACATATGCCGGTAAATGAGGTTTCAGATAAACAAGAATTTACATTAAAAGTTACACTACATTACTAAGTATAAATGCATTTAAACCCAATTTTGTAATTGTCTTGGGTGGGAAGTTTCTCATTTTGCTGGGGACAATAAATGTTTATCTGGAATTTCTCCAGGAGGGAATTCCCTTATATTAATAAAAACCAGTAAAACCAACAGAAGTAATGCCACTAAAAAAATTGTGTGTGATATGATAAGTAATGTCATTAAACCAGACAGATTCAAGAGAAATTATTTGGTACAATGGGTGTCCCAAAGTTCATTTTCAGTATACTGACTCAAGTTCTGAGCAAATTGATGATGGTCAAAGCTTACTATTATTTGATTGCTCTTGAATGATATCTCTGGAATAGTTTGATGTCCTGTAGCTTCTAGTAAGTGAAGTACAAAGCCATTAATCTCCTGTCATCAAAATCAAACTCTTGACTACAGTGAAATCAAATACAATATTCATTAACACTAATCCACTAATCCAGTCTTCTGTCTGAAGTAGTATTTCTTATCAGACAAACACCAAAGTGCATCAAAACAACTTTATGTGAACATCAATAAATTTTTTACTGTGCAGACTTACATGGAAATTATTCTTGTGATGTCTGCGCTATTGTGTTTTACAAATCAAAATTTGGCTTCTGTCTTTAGGGCTTTCAAATTTACTTTTCATGAAAATTAAAATCCCATTCTCAAAATAAGCATACACACTGCACAGAAACCAGGAATGAAGATAATAATATGAACAAAGGGGGAAAAAGAAAGATTTTAGCACCCAAAGAAAACTCTGAAGAAGAAACTTGACCTTTTATTTGTCTCTCCATTTTTCAAAAAAGTTAAATTGAAATAACTAAAAGTCTAATTTAAACTAATTCATAAGCTACAGTACTATTATCTATTGTGGAGTATGGTAAGCTATATTATATTCAGAAATGCCTAGACAGGTAAGTGTCTATTGTGAGTGATTACTCAGTAAGTACAGATGACAGCTTTCTGTGACAGAATGTTTAACTCTAGTAGTCACAAGACCAAACAAAATTGTTTCCAAAAGAATATTTTTAAAATATAGATTACAAGGCCTTGGAAAAGCATCTATTATTTGCAAGTGGGATCATCTCTATGCTAAATCTTTTGTCAGATAATCAAAACATTTTCACTTTTTTTTTTTTTTAAGAGATGTTTGCTCATGCTTGAGCAAAATCACTTTGCTAAACAGCCCAAATTAGTCCTTCTCTGAAAAACAATCTACACCTTTAGGATCACATGGTATTTTCAACAATCACAGTAAAATGAGGATGATAACAGACAAATCCCTCCGGCTACTGCATCTTCTCCTTCTCCTCCCTCCCAAACACAGAGACCATATGATGGAACACACAGAACCACAAATTACTGTAGTGCACGGTTCCTACTTAATAATGACATCCCATAAGTTAGCAAAAATCTGCCAACATCTGCAAGCTTCTCTGCAGTGTTGTGAGCCAAAGTTAAAAATCATGTGTGACAGTGCTGTGGAAAATACAATTGATTCCATTCTGATTGTGTCAGTTCCAAACACAGACAATATTGATGATGCTGTACAGTAATCTTATTGGACTTGGGCCCAACTGAACATTGGTCTTTGTCAACTCATTATTCCTCTATCAGAGGGATCTCACTAGATTGATCTTGCCAGAAGCTCTTGATGTGTCTCACAAATCACTGTTCTGCTGTTGGCAGGCAGATTCGAGTACTGCACAGTAATTGCTGGATTTTTTTCCTTTCCCCAGAAGGCAGTGACTACATACTGCAAGTCATTGTCATACGAGAGAATATAACTGTCCTAACAAGATAATGTAGTTAACTGTGCAGTATCTGATTATGCCAAAAAGATGTGGTCATATTATGTAGGTTACTAAAGGAGCAAAATTATTTCAAAGCTAAATTTTTTTTCTTCATCCTTGCCATCTCTTAAATAAATAGCCCACATTTTTAGTGTGAAAACTTCTTTGGATAAATTGTATTATTTTAAACTGCAACCCAAATGTGGGAAGATCTTAACTGGCCTCTTGCCATTTACGTATATAGAAACAAACCACACAAGTGTTTGCACAATCAATACTGCACTGCAAAACTCAGACACAGACATCTGAGTATCTGACAAGAAGTGATTACATCTTGGAAACTTCTTTTATGCTTTCAGCCAGAGGAAATAAACTTGTTGGCTCCTAAACTCTTTGCTTGTCCCTCAGAAAGATCCAAGAAGATTAAGTTTAGTCTTTGGCCGGGGTGAATGCTTTCCTTAAGATACTATCAACATATCCTCTGGCTAGTCTTAGAAGAACACAATGACAAAACCAAATTTAAACACTTGATGCCCTGAGTCAGATAACCTGGATAACAGCAAGAGGCTGGACTGGAGTTTCTCCAGGAAAGCTTAGGCTTTATGTTGACTGAAGGAGCCACTGGCAGCTGGCTTCATTTCCACAGTGCAAATGGAGAGAATAACAACCCCTGAACAGCTAAACTGAATTATCCAGCTCTGGCTTCTAGCTCTCTTTGTGGATGTCTGCTTTTTTGGGAAGGTGCAGGGGCTGAGGAGTAAATGTAACACATTATGGTTGAGAAGGACTGTGATTCCTGATTAATGGAATGGTTACTCTATTGAATAAAGAAGGTTTGAGCATCTTGGACCTTACATTCCCTAACTACCTTGTACCTTACTTTACCTAATACAAGGAAATTGAGCAAGGCCATTAGAAATGGATGTTGGTAAAACCTCTAAAGGATCAGATAAAATCTCATCTCTAAGTAATCCAAAGAACTCATCCCCTACTGAAATACTCAATCACTGTCAAATAGGTATGTAAAGGTCAAAATACAGGCAGAAATGATGCAGGTGATGAAACTATGGGAACTATAAAATGATGCAAAGCCGCAGTGATTGTTTTTATATGACAGTACCAAAGCTGCTTGTGTAAATAATAGGGAAATGTTTAAGAAAAGAAAATATTAAATTATTCCACCTATAGGCAGCATACAGAAGCAGCAAAACATTATACTAAATTACTAAAGACCAAAATACAAGGTTCAAGGAAGAAAAAAGAACAGTGTAAATGCAAGGCCTATGTTTTCCCCAGCTAGATGAAGGAAAGTAAATTGAAGACATACTGACAATTTATGCCATAAAGTTTCAAATCAGTGGCCCAGTTCATTTAAGAATGTACCTTTAATTGTTCAAAGATACTGCCTATAAATATGAAATTTTTGTCCTAGTTTTCTTTGGAGTCTTAGTGATTTGCTTCATAATTTTTATTTAAAATAGAAAGAAAATATCAAAACATTCTTAAAAATAAATTTGGTACATAACTAAAGGCAATAAAATAAAATAAACCAAAAGATTTAAAAATCAAATTAAGTCTTTGACTAAAAGGTGAGATCATGTGATGTCCAGGGACTGACTCCAGGACTATGAGTGGGTGACTTTTGACAGAAATTAGCACATAGCTGTCCACTTACCCAGAATAAGCATCATGTGCAAACTTTATGTTGAATCTTTTCCCCCTGACCTGAGTTTTGGCTGGTGTGTTAATGCAAGAAGTTCTAAATATAGCAGAGCCAGCAACAGGAAGATTCCAAACATGAATCAGAGTAAAAGTAATTTTAATTTTAAATATAATGAAAATATTGCCTTCCTTAACTTTAGATAATCTTCAGATTACAGAATAGGCTTTTGTGGTAAATTATACTGTGATGTCCTACATGTACAAAGTGACTTAGAGTCCCCAGGCAGGTGCAAAGGAGAGCTGCTTTACTGCAAAACACTGGCCTTTTTAAGCAGTTAGCCTATTATCATTCCAGTTAAGTACGACAAACATAACCCAACCAACCACCATACACCACAATGTGAGCATCTCTATCAAAAATGGATATATAAATTAGTTTTCTACCTCCAATTCAGCTGAGTCACTTTCCCACAGTCCTTTTCTGCTTAGCCAAAGTAGCAGGCCTGAGCCCTGATTTTACAAAGGTAAAAAGCCTTATTTTCTAAGGCTTTATCTATATACAACAGTAGAAAATTAAAGACCCTTGAGGTAGAGCAGGTGTCACCCAAAGTCCTCTGCATTTCATCTCTTGGAGCTGGCCAACAGGAAAAGTCCAGGACCCTGGTGCTCCTGCAATTGCCATGCTCTGTGAGTATGCCTTTTTCAGCCTGGATGGAAAGACACATTCCATCTGCTTGGAATGCTCAGGAATGTTCAGGATCTTTTTCACTACTTTTCCATGTTTTTTTAATAGCATAACATAGACATTGTTCATCAGCTATAATAAAGAGGAAATGGTATTTTCTTTTAATACCATGGTCAAAGAGTTTTGTTTCTGAGACTTAAAGTCCTCACTAAAGCCAATTTACCTAATTCTAATTGTGGTAACATTTAGATTAGTTTACTTAAATGTTTAGTAGAAGTTTAAGTGGAACATAACAAAAATATTTTACCCGCCATTTCATTTATTGTTCATAGCTGGTTCCACTGCAAGTTTATGGATTAGTGTAAACTGAAGACTTCCCATTAATAGTGAATCTGATCTGTTGTCTGGAATAAGTCAATAGTTACTGGGCCTTGGAAATAGAGAAAGCAAAAAGGTGACCTACCATAGGACTTTTAGCTTCTTTCTTTGAGGGTGTTCAGGCATATTCCAGACTCTGTGCTCTGGTTTCTTATACATTTTACATTATGCATACATCTATCAAAAACTTCCTTGTTCAATATCAGGCACTGAATATCAAACTGCCAGTGCTAATACCCCCTGTAGTAGCAGAAGAGCTCTGAGTTGTCCAGCATCAAGAGGAGATTGCTTTCTCAGAGGCTGTCTTCTCTGCTTTTTATCATGATATCATGCTAGTACAAAAACAGTGTAAG